CACTAAGTGTTTGATCATACTAATGAATGTGGAAATCGAAAATACCAATGAATGTGAAGCTTTGCTTAATTCAATAAAATCATTAAGTAACTTGGGTAATCATTATGAGTCAATATGTGTTGGAAAGGTTCATAAATCATAAACTAAATTGTTTTCAAACTGTCAATGATGTATATGTACTTATTCACCTTAATATGTTGAGTATTTTAAGTACTAGAAGGGTCATGCTTTTTGAATTGTTCTTACTTATGTAAAAATCTACTTACTTACTTCATAAAATGTACCATGATGCTTATAAGATTGAAAGAAATTTTGTTGGAAGAAAACTATAGTGTGAAAATACTTAAGCATATTTACATAAATGAAATAACTTGTTAAAAGTAACTAGTATAGGTACCTTTTATGAGGTAATTCTTTTGTTGTGATATTTTATCTTAGCACATGACCCTCATTTAGTCGTGTTGGCGTAAAAGTTGTATTGCTTAGATAAAAATGAAATGTGGGATGTATTGGGCATGTTGGGATAGCAACCTTAATACTGAGAGATATGTGGTGTGTGAGGCGCATTGTTTAGGCATAAAGCCTTAATGCAATAATAAAGGCACACAAGAAATGTTAGGTATGTTGGTGTGGGAACCTTAATGCAATAATAAAATAGCATATGGCACATTGGGCATATTGGCATTGAAGCCTTAACATAATAATAAAGGCATATAAGATGATTTGGACATGTTGATATGAAAGTTTTAACACGATAATAAAAGGTGCAAGGCATGTTGGGTGTATTGACATGAGAGCCTTAACGTAGTAAATAGATGAGTTATAGAGCATAATTGGAGTAAAATGGTTGGATGCCATTTTTTCTTCATTAAAATTTTCTTGTATACAATTTCTTAAAAGAGAAAGATGAGGTTAAGAAATCCAAATATACAATTTAAAGAAAATAAAAATAAAAAGAATAACTCATAAACTTAAGAGACCTGGTAGTGGATGTTGGTAAAATGTTTTACTTCTTCAAATGAATGGCATTCAATGTCATTAGTGTGGAATTATCTTTATGTCTTTTTATTTATGTGCTTTGAACCCAATAACAACAAAGATTCTGTATGGTCTCTCTTAATTGGGTGATAATTTTTTTTCTCCAGTTGGCTTGATAGTTTTATAATTTCTATATACCAGATGGTCTATTTGAAAAAACCTATGCTTAATGTAGAAGTTATAATATTTGGTGGCTTGTTGGGCCCTACAATGATCTTGACCTTAGCAAGGTCTCTAGTTTCTTGTAATAAGTTCAGGTTAATCCACAAGCTTTTTCATTCTAATTAAAATCAAAGTATGCTATTCTAAGTGTGTTAACACCTATCTAAGTAGGTATTACTGCCTCTGTCCCATAAGTTACTGTGAATGGCATCTTTTATATTGCTGAATGGTTTATGATTTTGATTACCTAGGGGCTTTTTACACCCAAGCCCCTTTGTCTTTATCAAGCTTCTTTTAAGCAAGTTAAATCTTCTGATTCATGGATTTTACTTGGCCATTAGTCTAAAGGTAGGCCATTGAGCTGTAAACAAAAGCTATCTTGAAATTTTGGCAAAACTATTTTAATTTGTCTATTTAAAACTATGTCTCATTATCTACCATGATAGTGTGAGCAAGGCGAAACCTACATATAATATACTTTTACACAAAGTATTTCACTATTTTGATAGTAATGGTGGCCATAAGTTCTGCTTTATCCTACTTGGTAAAGTAATCGTAAGCTATAATCATGAACTACTTCTGGACAATCATCACAAGAAATGGACCAAAGATGTCAATACCCCATGGCACTAATGGCCATGAGCTAAAAATTTGGTTAAATACTTTTGCTGGCTGTCGAAGGACTTTGTTAAACTTTTGACTTTGTTCATATTTCTTAACAATCTCAACTGCATCTTTTTTCATATTAGGCTAGTAGAAACCTCATTGTAGTGATTTTTACACAAGTGCTTGCTTGTGGTGATTGCACACCTTTTCATGAATTTTTCTTAGGATATCTCTACTCTAAATGAGGACAAACACTTGAAAAAAGGAGCTAAAAAGGCTTTTTTGTATAAAATGTCCTCTAATAATGCAAATCAAGCTATTTTTTTCTAGACTTTCATGCATTCTATGATTTAAAGGTACTCTTCTTTGATGTAAGCTTTGATAAGGGTAATCTAAGTGTCTTATTCTTTTATACATAAGATAGGAAAACTTATCAATAATGGGGTGCCGGTGTATACTTCAACAAGATTTTCTCATGCTCTTTTATCTCAATAAAAATCATCAGCTTAGACAACGAAGATGGTAAAATCGAAGATGGGCCTCAAGGGCATTAGATTATTGTTTAAAACTTCCATCAACCTAAATACTTGTTATTGTACTAGATCCACTATGTTTTAACTGTCCATTAGGATTTTTTGTACTTGGTAAATGGCAATAGTCATCGAGACCATTGTGGGATCATTGCCATTGTCAACCAGAATATATGTATTCTCTTATAAGAATTGTACTTGTCAATCTTTCATTTTTTACCTTTTAAGTGCCATGTCAATGGCCATGACACTACTCAAGTGGGGTTTACGCTTTGATTTGCTATTAGCCTAGTCTTCTATTACCTTTACAATAATAAGGATGATTCTTTAGACTAAGTGTTTGCTGGTTGCTTTTGCCTGGCAGGTATTTTTTTTTTGGTAAGATAAGCCCTTGCCCTGTTAACGAATGGGCATATCTTGTAGCAGGTGAGGTAGTGGATTATTGTGGTTCTCATATTGGTGGGTAGGTTTGTTGTTAATAGGCCCTTCAATCTTTTGGTCTTCTTTTAGAAGGCTATGCACTAATTAGTGGAATGTCCCAAATCGAGTGATAGTTGCAACGTCTTTTCATAAAGGTTGGTTATCAGGTGTTTTGGGGGTGAACCTTGCCTGGTTGGGTCTTTGGTTGGATTTTTCGGTAGGTCGTTAGGTAATAGCATTAAGGTTCAATTTGAATTTAGTAATGGTTAGGTTATAGCTAAGAGGTGCAGCTACTGTTACTCTACCAATCTTTTCTTTTAGATTGGTTGTAAGTTTGGCAGTTGTTATAAAACCACTGGCTAAGGGTGTTTATCTACCTATTATCACCTTATGCTTCTTAGCTCTATCTACAACCTTGATTTCCCCATCTTCAATTAACTTTTGGGCATTCTTATAAAGCTGGTTCAATTGCTCAAGCTCGATATCGGTTAAGAAATACCTAAGTTGATCACGTTTAAACCAGAAGTAAAAGCCTAGATGGCCCACTCAGTGTTGAGGTCCTGCTACTTAAAAAATGAACCAAAAATTACTTGCTAAAAGTGTCGAAACTAACAATAGTGGCTGGAGCCATGGAGTTGAACCATATACGAGCTCTTTTTCATAGAATTGTAAGGAAACCCTATATTTTACTGCATTTAAGGCATTGTGCAAATCCATGAAAGTTTTGAAATGATCCAAATGGTCCTCTAGATCGGTGACCCTTTTGTAGGTTTCTTTAAAAGTTTTAGGGAAGTGAAGATATCGACTTGTCTAATAATGAGGGTAAAAGGGTTGTGATCATCTTCTACCTACTGGAGGTATTTGTTTTTTTCTATTGTTTAAGGTCAGTAAGCTCTTTATGCAAGGCGGCCACTTGCGTGGCTAGTTCTTTCTCAAGGTTAGGGTTTATATGGGTTTGGTTCTATGTGATGGGGTCATTAGGGTAAACATTATCTTTGATAGGTTGGGGGTAGCTTTATTTAGGGTGGGTAAAGTTTTGTGGTGGCTTTTTAAAGGTGAAAACAGAACTTTCTCTTAGGTATGGTATCTTTTGTGAATGTTATTAGGTAGCTTATTGATACTGTTAAAGTAGCCTTTGTTGGGTGGCTACTTAAGCATTCTAAAAGCTAGATTTCAATCATTAATGCCTAGTAAAAGTTTAAGAAGGTTATTACATGTTTGGTTGGTATATTGGGATTTGTAAGGCAGGAAGTGAGACATGTATGGTGGATGTTACAAGGAGAATATTCTGCCAATGTGTGACATTAATGGATTGTAAATATTGGACTTGTGTAGGAGGTATTTAGGATGTTAGGTTTAAGGGTCTAGCATCAATGGTGTGGATTAGTGGTTGGGTTAATATCATTTTTTGATATAAAACTCTATCAAGTTTTGATAATATCTCAGAGGTTATGTAGTCCATGCATTTAATGAAAATGGGTTACGGGGAATAGAAAGATGGGCTCATACATTAGATTTCATGAAGGAAGTTTCGATGATATGATTTGTGAGGGGTTGATAACATGGCTACATCATAAATAGTTGCTGGTTGGGTTGTTACATTTATAGTAAGTGTCGTTGTTTCATAAGAGTGGATAGTGAAATATGGTTGTTGGTTCCCACAGATAGCACCAATTGTTGATGTTATTTTTGGGAGTTTTAGCTGAAAAGAATTGGTGAGAGGTTGAGGGTGAAGTGGCCTAAACCTACAACCAAAAAACATGGTTAGAGGGCATCAGAGTTAACTTTTCGAGGCACGTTTCGATGCTCCAATCAATGATGTATTTAGGGTTTGAAAAAAAAAAGAGGTGAAGTGTGTGGAAGAAGTTCCAATGAAGGAATAATGCTTAAATCTTAAGTTCTTATGAGCCTGGTTCTCTTTTTTCTCATATATTTGAGATAAAGTCAATGACTTGATTGAAATAGTTGATTATTGATGATAAATTTACCTGAAACTCAAGAAAAGATTACATAAGTGATTGTGAATTATATTTAATAAATGTAAAGAAGTGTGGATCGTATTTAATGATTTTAAATAAGTTAAAGATTAAGTGTTTAATTTTGAAATAATGCATCGAAGAAATGATAGTGGATAGTTCTCGAAGAGGAAAGATGTGACGACTGCATTGACTACGCAGCCAAAAAAGTTGACCAAGTTGGCGGAATAAACGGGCATAACAATGACAAATCGGTGACATTGTAGACCAATTGTCTCACCAGTGGACTGCATCTCTATTCGCAAAGGCCTTCTTGGTTTCAAAGTAGATGCTGTATCTCTTGTTCCGGTGATTATCTTCTTCAGATGCAATAACTTGGGTATGTCAATGTGTGTGTATCATCAGGGCCGGGTGGATTGCAAGAGTGAGTGTAAGTACATGTTCTGGTATAATCATATGAAGAAATTGCCAAATCCGAATAACAAAAATCAAGGGATGAGAGAATTCTCATAACTGTAAGAGAGGAAAAAGGACCCACTTCTCTAATTTAGTTTGACCACATTTATAAAAAGATAAATAAATAAACAAAATTAAAATTGAAGGAAAATTGAGACAGCTCCTCCACTTTTCACTCCCACAAGATCGCTTCTTCTTCTTCTTCTTCCGCTCTGCGTGTGTTGTCGTTGTTGTTGTTTAAGAGTTACTGCTTTGCTGAAAAAAAGCATAAGAAAAAAAATGTCAAAGTTTTGTAATCAGACGAGAGCAGCGACGTCTCTCATCAGACGCCTCAATCGGAGACGCATCAATCCAACGTCTCTCGCTCGCCCCAGATGTTTCACCACGGCGGAGGGTCACCGTCCCACTCTCGTCCACAAACGCAGCCTCGACATCCTTCATGATCCTTGGTTCAATAAGGTATAACGCATTCTCTATCGCCAATTACAAACTCCCTGATTTGGGGTTTCCACAATATCAATTTCATTCCTCTATGCCTTTTCAGATTCAATTAGCTTCGAAGTTCATCGATTTTCTTTGTTTAAATGCGTTAAATGTTAGGGAACAGCATTTTCCATGACGGAGCGAGATCGTCTGGATCTTCGTGGCCTTCTTCCTCCAAATATAATGTCTTCCGAACAGCAAATTGAACGCTTCAGTAAGTTTTTTTATATTGGTTTGGGACCGGTATACTGCAGAGGAATAGGAAACCTTTCTATGTATGTATCCATACATAGTTATTTGCATTTCCATGATTTTCATTTTTTTCTAATTCATTAATTAACAGTGGTTGATTTGAAGAGGCTTGAAGTTCAAGCTAGAGATGGACCATCTGATCCAAATGCTCTTGCCAAATGGCGGATTCTTAACCGCTTGCATGACAGAAATGAGACTATGTACTATAAGGTAAAATTTATTTTATCTGCTCCGTACGGATCTTTAGATAAGAAGCTACTTTTTTAAGTTTCTCCTCTTCCATTCCATTTTTCAATAAATGTTTCTATGAAATTCAATAATAAGACTACTATGAACTACTGGGCTAGGCCGCAACCCATGTGATAACATCCATCTTTCCAACAGTCTTACATGAAATTATTTTAAGTGTCGAGAGAAAGAATCACACATGCTGTTAGTGGCTTTACACGTGCATGTCATTTCTTCGGCACATCTCTCACAATATGTATTTTGTTATGCTGTGAGCCTGTCATCTTCCTGGTGGTATAACTGAAATATCATTTTATTTCCAACTTTGACAGGTTCTAATTGCTAACATTGAGGAATATGCTCCTGTAGTTTATACTCCAACCGTCGGTCTTGTTTGCCAGAACTATAGTGGTCTGTTTAGGAGGCCTCGTGGAATGTACTTTAGTGCAGAAGATCGTGGAGAAATGATGTCTATGGTTTACAACTGGCCAGCTGATCAGGTCTGCATTCCATATCAATGACGAAGTTAATAGTACAACTTCTTTACTTAGTTGAATTGATCCCACTTGTGGACCTATGTCCTTATTTCTTTGTTGCATCGCAACCTATGACATGCAGATTTTTGTCCTTTGCTTTAATAAAATTTTGACTTGTTATTTTTCCCTTTATGCACAAGAAAATGTCTCTTTGCATTTTGCTCTATGGCAAGCATAACTTTCAATTTAGATTACCAGCAGGCTTAATGGGTGATTTCTTACGGAGAATTTAAATGTTCGACAGCTGCTCTTGAATTTTGGAACTTAGACTTCCAAGTTTGTTATTTATACAAATTTGTTTTTGACTCACTGCTTTACCTCATTCAATTACCTGTACTTCAGGTTCTAGCAACATAATTTTGTCTTTCTATAGCAACAAAGTAGTGCTGGATTCTTCTTTCTTTTCAGATCTGGTATAGTTAGTATCTTTTATGAATTTTGGTATCAGTATTTCAGAAATACTTTGGTTTTTTATAGACAAGTTTTGGTCAATGATAATAAGCCCTTGAACATATATTAACTTTGCAGTTTGATAAGCTTCCTGTTTATTTATTTAGTTTTTATTGAGTACAGGTTGATATGATTGTTGTTACGGATGGAAGCCGAATATTGGGTCTTGGAGACCTTGGAGTTCAGGGAATTGGAATTGCTATAGGGAAGCTGGATCTGTATGTTGCTGCTGCTGGGATCAATCCTCAGAGGGTATGTCATTCTTTTTCTAATCTTGTACCTTTTATATGCTAGATATTTTTATTATATCTGTGTTTTAAAATGCAAAGTATAAAAGTTACTTTAGGAAAGGGATTTACAATTATTCAAATAATTTTACAGTTATTCGAATAAGTATAAAAGAAAACATGGATCTGTTGTAGTGTTCTTAGTCCTTATGCCTGCATTCTGATGCTTGAATATTGGAATAAGGATTTGTGTGATAACATCTATAAATATTCATGTTCTATACCCATTTTCTTTGTTTCTTATCTCCTTACTTTATATGAGATTTACTCTCTGAAAATGGGTACGAGAGAGTGGGACTTGATTGTGCATTAGTGGATTTTCATGTTTGTGGATTCCTAGCAAGTCTCAGTTACTTAAGTTTTCTGTTTTCACCACTTTCCAACCTTATAAAATGGCAGTTCATATAATGCTAATTTTTCTGGTGTTGCTCATTTTGACCATTTACTGGGAATTTTACAAATATTTCCTCTGTTTTCTCCCTTGCATTAGGTGCTTCCTGTCATGATTGATGTTGGAACTAACAATGAGAAGTTGCTTAAAGATCCCTTGTGTAAGTGTTCATCTGCCAATTTTGGGGGAGCCTTATAAAGAGTAACATTATTGTGTGATAAGTAGCAAGTAGTATTGCATTCTAAAGTTTGTAAACATGGTGCTGTATCAATAAAGGAAATTTCAGGTGCATGTTTGGCAAAAAATCCATGCCAAGCATGCCAGTCTAGGTGTGGCATTTTCCTCGATCATCATTGATCCCTTGCTTGTGTTAGCTTTTGGCTCATTTGTAATATTATAGGATAGCATATGGGGTTTGGATGAATTTGATGTTTTGGACCTGTAGAATAAAGGCTTAAGAATGCAATGATACATAAGAGTGATGCTAGAGTCACTCATGTAAGCTTTTGATCTATCAGACAAGATATTAGAGAAATTATTAGGCTTTGGCTTCCTTTCTTGATGCTTGTAGTCTGTGGTCTAAATAGCACCAGCCCAATTTTTGTTAGCTTGTTGTTTTGTACTTGCACGCTTTTTGAGGTAATTTTATGTTCTGAAAAAGAAAGGTGATTACATATTTACATAATTTTGTCAATAGATCTGGGGCTTCAACAACACCGTCTTGATGGTGATGAGTATATTGCGGTAATCGATGAATTCATGGAGGCTGTTTTTACTCGTTGGCCGCATGTGATTGTGCAGGTATATAGATAGATATACCTATTTTGTTAACACAATCTTGTCTTGAATTAAATTGGAATATCTTTATATAAGAGCTACGAGGAGACTTGTAGATAGATATGTCTATACTTGGGTTTCTGCAGTTTGAAGACTTCCAGAGCAAGTGGGCCTTCAAGTTATTGCAGCGTTACAGAAATACATACAGGATGTTCAATGATGATGTCCAGGTATTTGATTTTCACTTGATACAAGATAGTCCATCTTGACTTGATTTGTCAGTGCAAAACATTCCATTTGTTTTCACCTGTTTCTTTGGATCTCATATTTTAAGTTCTGTTTGACTGATGTATAATGTATTCTTTCAAATATCACTGAACCAATTTTGTGCGGGGTTCTAATTTAATGTCAATCAACCATGCCTCTTAAACTCTGTTTGATTAATTTATGGAGTTTTAATTGCCTTCACATTTTGGCTTTATTTTCTACAAATTCACAATGCAGGGAACAGCTGGGGTTGCAATTGCTGGTCTTCTTGGAGCTGTAAGAGCACAGGGAAGGTCAATGATTGACTTTCCTAAGCAAAAGATCGTTGTTGCTGGTGCTGGAAGGTTAGCTTTGTATCCTATCCTTGAGGTTTAGTTCTGGATTATCATAATATCAATATTATGGAAGAGATAATATGGCTATTATTCCTATATGTGGCGGTCACTTGTGGTGCTTAGACTGCTTTCCTTTGGCACCTGATTTACTGTGGACTTAATAGTTCCTTCTCTAATCAGTATTTTTTTGAATGGAAGGGTGAAATTCATCGCTTGTGAACTGCAATTGGGTTATAGCAAGTTGATTATACTTGGGTTCTTCTCCCACAGAAGAACTAACCTGTTATCATTTGTTCTCCCCGTATGTTTGAAGACAAATGAAATAAGTGATTCCACTAAATGGAAAATGAGATATTACTCTTTGTTGGCTTATTATTCTTCTTACTATATGTGGAAGTTTTATGTCATTCATGCTTAGGAGGTCTGGTTATTTGTTTGCTTGTAGCTGGATTGCTTTTCATTCCATCCGACATTTCCATGAACTTGTTGAAGCAGCTGATTGATTTGTTTGCTGTTTTTTAGTCTTCTTAGTGTTTTTCTGTGAAAATTAAAATGGAATACTCTTGATGCTAGTAGGAGATATTAGTACTTGTTTCCATAATCTTTATACTGCTGCAGTGCAGGAATAGGGGTTCTCAATGCTGCAAGGAAAACAATGGCCAGGATGTTAGGAAATAACGAGGCTGCCTTTGATAGTGCAAAGAGACAATTCTGGGTTGTTGATGCCAATGTGAGTGCAAAATCTCTGAAAACTTGAAAAATTTTCAGTTAGTGAGTTCTGCTTTCAACTTTCAAGGACTATTTGTTGTTTTCAACATCACAGCATAGTTTTTCATCGAATATTTCCTCTTGAAATTGGAAAGCTAATGAAGAAGGTAATAGGTAGAGGCATAGGCCAGGGAGATAGAGCTGGTGAATTGGGCTGGCCATGAGCTATTTCCTACTAAGTTATGACTGCCCAGCTTTCAATAGGCAGGACCATCATAAGTAGAAAAGATGGCTACAACAACTATTTGATTGCATTCCTTGTTATCAATATCACAGCACCATTTCTAGTGGTGCTTTAGAGCTAAAATAACAGCTTTGTTCTATGAGTTTCATTTATATCAATGCATTACAAAACCATTTGAGGTCATTTTTACATTATTGCTGCTATGAATTCTGGCTGTTAGAATGCGATGGTTCAATGGAACCTTTTGCGTAGTTATCTTCCCATGAGGGAGACCAATTTGCATTAGATGTACATTCTAACCAAAAGTGTTGCTTTTATCCAGGGTCTTATCACAGAGGAACGTGAAAATATTGATCCAGAGGCCCTGCCATTTGCAAGGAAAATCAAAGAAGCTGGTCGTCAGGGATTAAGAGAGGGTGCAAGTCTTGTAGAAGTGGTTTGTAAAATGCTAGCATAGTAGCACTTTAACTCTTTATATTCTAGTAGATTAAATTGTAATTTTATTCTTCACATGTGAAATAATGGAGTCCTGTTGGTGAATGACTTTTGTCTCATTATGGTCTTTTGTTTTAGTTTTTACCAGCTTCTAAGTTTTGTCATCAGATACATTGTCATGTCTCTGAATTTCTGTTCCAATTAAAAAGACCTTTCTTCAATCTGGCTACACAGGTGCAGCAAGTGAAGCCTGATGTGCTTCTTGGGTTATCTGCAGTTGGAGGATTGTTCTCCAACGAGGTATAAATTGAATTTCCCATATCAAGCAGGACATTGCTCCCGCTGTTTATGACAATATTCAATCTATGATCTCAGTTTGAACCTCATTTCTACTAATTGGCAATTTGGCAGGATGTTAATCTATTATTTAAGAATTTAACACCTTTTCATATCCTTATGATAGGACTGTGTTACCTGTAAAGAAAAGATTCACTATTTTCATTTCTTTCTCATATATTTAATTTTGAAGAAAATGTTCTGAGATTGTACTGTAAAAATTTGGTAAATGGATTCCAGATCGCAGAACAATTATTTTTGAGAATTTTTAGGCTTAGTTTTGTTTCTTAGAATCTGTGCATTTCATTAACCTTCCAGCCAAATATTTTTTGCTAAGTGGGTAAAATGCATTTTCTCTTTCAGGTGTTAGAAGCTCTCAAAGGTTCGACTTCAACTAGACCAGCCATCTTTGCGATGTCAAATCCTACAAAAAATGGTATATTTATTTTAAATATTTTGGGGATAAATAATTAGGACACCTATATTTTTACACAAATTTGTCATGTTCTTTTATCCTTCTCTTCTATGTATTACAGCTGAGTGCACCCCAGAGGAAGCTTTCTCAATTGTAGGTGACAACATTATATTTGCAAGTGGAAGTCCATTTAGAGATGTTGATCTTGGTATGTACCAAGGCTACCTTGTTGAACATTGTCCGCATAGTAATTCTTTTAAATTTTATAATTCTTTGCCAATTTGCTCCCATGTGGGTTCTGGTTTAAAGTTATTTTGCAATCAGCCCAAGCTCTGTTTTTTATAAATGCCTAAACTTGTATAGAATTATAGATACTTATTGCACAAGCTGCTCATTTCCCACCTGAATTTCTATAGCATCTTGATTTCAATACAAGTTCCGAACAGAAAATTCTTTCCCTAATATTCTCATTTGAGAGTGAAAGGTTTACTGGTTGTAACTTTTCAATAATTTAGGAAGTGGCCGAGTTGGGCATTGCAATCAAGGAAACAACATGTATCTCTTTCCAGGGTCAGTCTTTCCAATTCATTTTGCAAAGCTTTCTTTCATTAATGTTTCTCTAATTCGTCATCTATAATAATTTACTCATCTTTTATGCAGTATTGGACTTGGAACTCTTCTATCTGGCTCTAGGATCATTTCAGATGGCATGCTACAGGCTGCAGCGGAACGGTGTGTCTTATTTGTCTTTTATTTTTGATAAATATATTTAAGAATGTGGAGTTCAGAAATTTTCACCTGTCAAAATGGTTAGGAGCTTAAATAGAAGATTTCATGACGAAATTTTAGTCATTACTATTATCTATGAAATTTAGCTAGATTATGAAAATGCAGTGGGCAAGGCACTAACTTCATCCCACTCACTCAGAACCACTTCAAATTCTGCTTCAAGAAAAGTAGGGATTAGGATCTGTTTGTTGTACCTTTCTAATCCTTTTAATCATATTAGGCATTTTATGAGTTACTTGTGGATTAAGTCCTGATTTATTGTAATATTTAATTAAGTTACTAGAATCTTTTTAGTTGTCTCAAATGGTATGCTTGGTTACAATGGCATTATGCCAGGAGCTCTCTGATATATGGACCTGGGTCATTGATTTATTTCTTTTGCTCTTAAAATTCCTCCATCAAATGATGTAAACGCTTAAACAAGATGATTTGGTGCTTTAGTCACTGACTTGGATACTGACTCATATACATATGTTATGTTCTATTGACAAATGCAGTCTGGCTGCATACATGACTGAAGAGGAGGTTCTCATGGGGATCATATACCCTCCAATATCAAAGTCTGAGATGAGGCCTTTCCTTTTTTTCCTTTCTCTCACCTGCTGAACAAAGTTGAGAGGTTTTAATTTAAAGCCATTGGCTAAGTCTATTAATATTGTTTGTAGAATAAGAGATATAACAAAGGAGGTAGCTGCAGCAGTGGTTAAGGAAGCTTTGGAAGAGGATCTCGCAGAAGGATATCGTGACATTGATGCTCGAGAACTCCAAAAAATCTGTCGGAGCCAGGTGATCTGGCTGTTGATCTGAAAATATTGGAAACTTCCAATGTTTCCAGCACTTAAATTGGACAATGACATGCATGTTTGTTGTGTTGCAGGAGGAACTTTTAGAATACGTGCAGAACAACATGTGGAGTCCAGAATACCCGACTCTAGTTTACGCGAAGGTTTAGTTGGCTGACCCCAATCAAAAGAGTTTCTGCACCAAATAACCAGCAAAGCTATTAATGAAAGAATCAAGCATGCGGTGTTGGCACTTAACGCTAGACCAAACAAGTAGCAGCTTTCTTCTACATACTGCATCTCTTTGGTCAGATAAATTCATTAGATGGTGTGTGATACATTAATTGTGCCTGTGGGCACTTTTTATGTTGTATTGAAAATGAATACAGCTAATCGGCATTGAATTTTTAATCTCCCATCTCATCCCTATTATTGGACAAACCCTAAAACCAAATAAAGAAATAGCGAGACATTGTCGTATTTGTGCAAGAAATTTCGTTAATATAGCGGCATAATTTATATATTCTGATTTCCTTTTTGTTTTGGTCATTAATACTGGGATGGGATCATAGGGTTTCAATGATGAGTAGTTGTTACAATTACAATAGTTTGGTTGTCACGATTGTACAGTTGGTTTCCCAAGTGATACGAGATGGAAATTTCGGTGATGGGATAGATTAGAAGATGGCTTCGAGGAAGTAGTAGAAATAAGATAGGAAAAGAAATTTTTATTTAAGACTAATTTCATGTTGTCGTTGAAAACAAGTTTAAATCTTGAAATTTGTGTTTAAAAAGTATTTAAATATATGATAAGAAAAAGAATGATTAAAAATTTTATGTATTTGATATTGTTATAAAAAAGTCACTTGATATAAAAAAAAAGGGGGTCAAGTGTAAAATTTTTTATTTTTTAATCATTGATTTCGATAAATTTAAAAGTAAAGTTTGATATTTTTTATAAGATCATTATGATAATGTAATTACTAGGGTGAATTTATTATTAAGATGATTGTAACAAATTATTTTGTTTAGTTAAAAATAATTAATTCTTAGAAATAAAATATCACTGCATTTGGTATTAATAAAAATTAAATATTATTTTATTTAAAAATATGAAAATAATCATGCATATTGTAATGATTACATAAATTAATAATTTTATGGTTGCTTAAAGACAATAATTTATAAAATATTAGTAATATTTATTTATTTTATAATAAAATATAATTAAGTTATTAAATTAATAAATATATTTATTGATAGGTAATTTTATTTTTATAATATAAATTATGAAAAAAATATTTAAATTAGAAAATGAAACCTATCTATTAGATTCATAATAAAAGAAAAAAAAAATAAAAAATTATATTACATATAAAATATTAAAAAAATAAAAAATAAATATTATTTTGAACTTATTATAACGAATATTAATTTAAAAATATAAAAATTTATAATATAAAATAATTACAATTTTATGATGTAATAAATTTTAATTCACATATTAATAAATAAAATTGACTATTATTAATTTTACATATCGCTTCATCCTAACAATAAAAGTTTTTTATCATTTTATATAAAAATTAAATTAACCTCCAAAACAATGATTTGATTACTTTTGATGAGTTAAAATAAGGACTTTCAAATGCTTATTAAACATAATAATTTAATTACCATGTGTAAATCATAATGATTTATAGAATTATCTCGTGCCAAATATTATAACAGAGATAAGAAGAAATTATTTTTTTTAACTTATTCCTTTTAAATTTTAAATTATTTAAAATTAATAATTAAAAAATGTGTGAAAAAATATAATTTTTTACGTAACTCTATCATTTTTCACGATAAAATATTAAAAATATAGTATAATATAGTTTTTTTTTCATTATAAATATACTTTTTATCAAAAACGTATTTTTGGGAAATTTTTTTATTTGAGTTTTAAAATAAACGTAAAATTTTAAACTGAAAAATTATATTTTTTATTATTTAACATTAAAATTGGATTTAAAATAATTTTTGAACAGCATACTGCCTGCCTTTGAAATTGCGTCAAGCGAGGCTCGAACGGGCAAACAACATAACAAAGTTCTTAGCCTTTGAACTTGGCTGAGAAAAAAACTATGATATACGTATCGAAATTTGCAAATACTTACTACCCAATTTACATATATACATACATAGTACAGATCAGTCCTTCATCCTTTGTCCACACCCACTCAAACGGTGACAGGCAGCCAATGTTTGTGTTCCAGTCATTCCTACGTATTCATTGTTTAGCTAATAGTTAATTTTTATATTTTAAAGAAAAGGTTTGTTGTGCACTTGGCATTTTAACCTTTATTTAAAATCTATATTATTTTTTTTATTTTTGGTTTTTCTATTTGAATTTTTTGTTTTGATTTTTTATTAAATAAATTTTATAAAAAAATTAATAGAGGTAGAAAAGACAACAATTCTTTTTTTATAGGTATCGATTTGTCACGATTTAATAAGTATATTTTTTTAAAAAAATTTAATTGAGTTAATATTTTTAAAAAAAATTTTTTAAAAAAAATTAAGATCAAATTGAAAGTGATTTTATAGTGTTTTCTTCGATCAATATATATATATTATTAATTTAATTATATATTAATATATTTTATATTAATAAAATTATTATTTAATAACTTAATTTAATAAATTCGTATGGCACCCATTTAGTTTTTTTTTTTTATCATTTTATTTGGTTTTTTAGTTTTTGACAATTTTTAAATTAGATAAATTTGTAAAAAAAAAAAATTAATGATGGTAAAGATGATAAAAACAACTTGCATTTAATAAATTTCAATTTAATAGATGCAGATTTTTTAAAATTTAAAATTAGAATGAGTTTTTTTTTAATTAGAACCGAGTTAGAAAGTAAATTTAAGATTATATTAAATTAAAATTATGAAATTAATTTTTTATTAAATCAAATCAAATATAGGTTATTTTTATATGTAACATGTCAAGATTAGATGCCAATAAATAAATACTCGATATCGAATCAAAATTATAGCTAAATTGAATTATTGAAAAAGTAGAGTCAAAGATGAGCATAAACTTACTACTTATTAGGCCATTGTTATTATTAGATGGAGGTGTTCATGTAGCACATTCATTATTTTGGATTTTTTTTCTTATACTATTTTTGAGTTTTAATTTTTTAATTTTTAATTTTATTTTAATTTTTTTATCTATATTTGAAAACAAAAATGCCCAATTAAAGTATCTATGTGACATTCTCATGTGATTTTTTTTTTGCTATTTTTTTAAGTTTTTACTTTTTTTTAAATAAAATAAATTTTGTAATAAATGGGATCAATAAAAGTAAAGATGTCACAATAACCCGTATCTTATGAATTTTGACTTATTCATTCAACAGTGACAACTTTTTTTTAATTGAAATTAGATTAAGGAAAGATATATATATATATGTATTTTAAATTAAGGTTAAATTAGAGACGGATTTAATATATTCTACTATGTTCTTTCTTAGGATAAATAAGAATATATATTTTATTTTTTGTTTAATTTTATTTATATATTATGTTAATAAGTTATTATTTAATATATTTATTTTAAAATATTATATTTATATATAATTAAGATATAATTTATAATAAAAAATAATATTTTCATGAATATTATATTATTAAATTGATTTTTTGTCAAATTAAATCAAATGTGAGTTATACGTATATATCGAATTAAAATTGAATATAAAAAATCATAACTTGATATTTAGAGTTAGAATAAGTGTAAATCGATTCTTATTTAATTTATTGTCATCCTTAAGTGAAGGTGTTCACTTGGTATTCCCATTTAATTTTTTTATTTTTTGTTTGGGTTTTTTCTTTTAGTTTTGATTTTTTTTTTGTTATCTTTTAATTGTCTTTTTAAATATATTTAACTATATTTGAAAAGATAAATTTGTAAAGATGAATTTGTATTTGATTTGTCATAAAAATTATGAAAATAAAATACATACATTATCAATTAATTAATTAATATATTATTTTTATTAAAAAAATATAAATAAAATTATACTTACGAATTTATTAAATTTGATATTGTTAATTAAAAAAATTTAAACCCATAATAATACACATGTGACTAGTTATTAACTTATTATGAAAAGGAAACCAATCAAATCCAACGTTCCTCATTTCGGCAACGGTTCGGTTCGGCCCCGACTTTTTTGAAATTTCAAATTTCAAAAATCCAAACGCGTAAACACAGGTAAAATATGGAACGGAGCACTTATTTTATAAAAACACAAAACGAAATATTACAAAAACGGTGCGGAGCATGGACAATATCTCTCCCCCACAAAATATGTGCCCAGAAAACTCGATTAAAATTACTCCTCTTTTCTTTATCTTTCCGCTTTTTCTCAACCTCAAGTCCATCGCTGCCTCCCAACACAACCCTCCTTTCATTTCTTTGTTTAGCGTCCGTTTCAAGTCTTCTAAAGCTTTTCTAGGTTGATATCGAAGATGACCACTATGGAGAGCTTGATCGGCTTGGTTAACAGGATCCAGCGAGCATGTACGGTGCTCGGTGATTATGGCGGCGGCGATAACGCTTTCTCTTCCCTTTGGGAGGCTCTTCCCTCTGTCGCCGTCGTCGGTGGCCAGGTTTTTCTTCTACATCGCTTGATTTCTTCATCTTTCAGTGAAGAACAAGCATAATTGATCTTGTAATATGAGCTGTTTTGCTTTGTTTGTATTTCGATTGAAAACAGAGTTCGGGCAAGTCTTCAGTGCTGGAGAGCATAGTCGGCCGTGACTTTCTTCCCAGAGGATCGGGTTAGTTTGTTTCCTTTTTCATTTTAATAAATTTTAGTCTCTTAAATCGGAGTAATAGTGATGTGTAATTTTGGTGCAGGAATTGTGACGAGACGGCCTCTGGTGTTGCAGCTTCATAAAACAGACCAAGCATCACAGGAGTATGCTGAGTTTCTTCACCTTCCCAAGAGAAGATTCACTGATTTTGGTAATCTTTTATATTTCTTTGCCTTTGGATACCTGAAATTTGGAATATTTTGGACTTGCCATGTTTTAGCTTTGTTTTCTTCAAATTATGGGAAGTTTATGAAATAAAAAAAAAATCCTTCTTACTGTAGATGTATTTGTACCTGCTAGTTGCAAATTCTGCTAATATGGATTATTCTTTTCCTCCTAATTTGAATTTGAAGCTTATTCATCTCATCCTTTCTTGGTGAAGCGATGGTCCGCAAAGAAATTCAGGATGAAACTGATAGAGTAACTGGGAAGACCAAACAGATATCTCCTGTTCCCATCCATCTCAGTATCTACTCTCCAAATGGTTTGTCATCATATCATGATTATGTTTCTTTTTACTCACAATCAGATTCATTT